GAAAAGCTTTTGATACATTGACCTGACTTGCTCCACGTAAAATTATCACACTATGGTATAAGAGGGCACTCCCTCAACTACCTCAAGTCATACCTCAGCAACAGAAGCCAATATGTGTACGCAAATGGGGCAAACTCTTCTGCACAACCAATTACAGTTGGTGTCCCACAGGGAAGTGTCCTTGGCCCTCTTCTCTTTCTCCTATACATAAATGACCTACCAAATGCTTCTCAATTACTCAACCCACACTATTTGCTGATGACACAACATACGTCTTCTCCCACCCGAGCCCAGTCACGCTAGCCAATACTGTAAATACCGAATTACAGAAAATATCTACCTGGATGAGTACTAACAAACTTACACTAAACATTGACAAAACCTTACTTCATTCAGTTTGGTAACAGAGCTACAGATGTCCCTCTTAACATAATGATAAACGGATCACCTATCACAAAGCTAACAGAGGGAAAATTCTTAGGAATCCACCTTGATAATAGACTCAAATTTCATACACATATACAACAAATTTCTAAGAAAATTTCCAAGACTGTAGGCATACTATCGAAGATACGGTACTATGCTCCACAGTCAGCCCTCCTGGCCCTATATCACTCCTTATTTACCCCTATCTCACCTATGGAATTTGTGCATGGGGCTCAACAACAAGTAACCATCTCAGACCACTAATTACCCAACAAAAGGCTGCAGTTAGAATGATAACAAATTCTCACTACAGGCAGCACACTCCACCAATATTCAATACACTCAACCTACTCACCATACAAAACATCCATACTTATTACTGCACCTATTAATACATAGAACACTCAACTCTGATATTAACCCTCCCCTCAAACATCTCCTTGCCAACCTCAACAGAACACATGACCATAACACAAGGCACAGATCACTCTTTGATATTCCTCGTGTCCATCTCACGCTATGCAAAAACTCAATGCACATAAAAGGCCTAAAATCTGGAATTCATTACCTGTAAATATAAAAGAAACACTACCTGTTTATAAATTCAAGTCTCTTCTCAAAGATCACTTACTCACCCAAAACCAAATAAAATACTGAATAACTGAACCTTATAAATTGTATATCTTAAATGTTTCTCACAATTATATCACATAAATGTTAAACCTAAAACCCAATCTAACTTTATTATTTATTAAATTCACTACCTAACAGAATACTCCATTCTACTGAATTTACAACAATGCATGCAACCATATGACCTGTCTTTGTAATACTCACTTGTGCTTTATAGTAATCAGTTTACATTAATGTTTTTCACTGATTTCATCATTGCTTAGTTAATCTTAAGTTAATTTTAAGCCAGCCCGTAATGCTATGCATAGTATAAGTGGCTTTGGCATGCTGCTCTTATCTGTATTTTTTTTTTTGTACCTCTGTAAGTGTGCTCAAATTATAAATAAATAAATAAATAAAAATAAATATAAGTGGCTTTGGCATGCTGCTCTTATCTGTATTTTTTTTGTACCTCTGTATGTGTGCTCAAACTGTAATAAATAAATAAATAAATAAAAGCAAATACGTCGTATGAAGGCCCTAATATTTCCCGGACGGACCGTGTGAGTTTTGCAGACCCTCACATCTACCCAAACACATACATACACTCAGGTTGGCAAGGGTGGTTGGAAGGGACTTCTGCGTCAGCCTTCGTCGCCTGTGTATCAGTGACAAATTAATACCGTTCTCTCTGGGACGCTTGTCCTCATCTATTTTGCCCGCCGGGTACTCTACAGGAGGGACACCTATACAGTTAGGAAAATTCTTTAACGGTTTTGGGTGGGAAGCCGGTTATTAAGCTCAGGTGGGAGTGTAGGCGTCCCTCTCTGCTGGGGCTTGGCAAGGGGATCCACCGGATCTAATTGGAAACTTCAAGTTTCTATCTCTATTTACAAAGGAACTTTTGTTACTTTTCTCTCATCGCCCAGCATTAGGCAACAATTTTTCCTCGTACCATTGAGATACCGGGCTCGATACGGCTTATGCTGTCAGTGGCCCTGATAAACCCAACAAAGAAGGAAGTAGAAGAGGATGGTTGGAAGGTACATTTTAATTGATGGGTTTACGCTTCAAGGAAGAGGTAGGTAGTTTATACTGTTAGTAAACTAATATTAGGATTATTCAGGCAACTGTAGATAATAATAATGTAGACCTAAGACCTTAATGTAGATATGAATAGGCTGTTAATATAGGCAAACTAGGTTATGTTAGCTAAGGAGAACTGGCAGCCCAAGCTTGAACGACGAGGCGCGGGTTGAAAAGACGCCAGAGCTTCCTTCTACAATGAGACGGCAAGCTTGGCACACCACCGTGAACAGCAGGGCAGCGCCCCCACGTGTCTTCACATACTAGGCCCTGGGGAAATCTGGTGGAGGCACCTCGAAGTACTGTAGATGCCCTCCTCCATCAGGCCCAGACAGTAAGACAAGACCTCCCTTTCTTTCTCAGTATTCTGGCCAGTTTCTGGGGGAAATTGCGAGTGAGTTGAACTGTGGGTCTTTGTGCAGTCAGACGCCCGGAGACCAGTACGTACCGGCGTCCCCTCTTGTTGCGCTTAGAAGCTAGTGTCACTTTCTTCATAGTTAGACTAGGGGATACACACCCCCTTGGAATCAGGAATTTCTGAGGTGCAGGCAGGTCACTAATACTGACTGAATATTGCAGGAATTAAGGTTTCCGACTGCACGTGGTCTTGAAGGGGAAGTCCAGAAGGGCTAAAGCTTAGGGAGGTTGAAGACCAGGATATATTCTCCAACACCAAGTAAGTTAGTCCTTTATTCGTGCATGCAGGCGCGATTCCTTGGAACATCAGTTATTTATGGAAATGTGTCATATAAGCCACTTGTGAGGCTGAGGTACCAGCCTTAGGGCTCGGTGTCAACAGAACTTGCTAGGGCAGACAACTCACGGAGGCAGTCCAGACAAATTTCCAGTGGTCTTTTGTAACCCTGATGTGGAATAGCTAGGCCAAGCTGACTATACACAGAAGTGTATAGTCAGCTTGGTTAGAGAAGGTAGGTTAGAGAGGCTTGTGAATTTATTTACTTACAGTGATTACAAGTAAACCAGGGTAGGAGACTTGTATGTTAATTACTTAGAGTGGATTTGCAAGGTAGCCACAGTTAGGCTAGGCTTGTGCAATATTTACAACAGTCATAGTAGCTAGGTCAGATTTAACCTAGTTGGCATTTACAGTGAATTCTAAAGCCAGATTTAGGCTATAGCTGCACACTAATTTCAACAGTTATAGAAGTTAGGTTAGGATTTACCTTATCCAACCAACCACGCTAGACTAAGTAAGCTGGGCACAGTTAGGCCAAGCTGTTCACACATTATTTATTTACTGTTCCATAAGCTGAATTGTTGAATTTATTTGTGCTAATCAAGTGAACTTTAATTTGTAAAGACTGCATTTTTATTGTGTGATTTTCATTATCATTGACATTTCAATGTGCAATTTGTGATTTGTACCAGAGACTAGCTTAAGTCCTGTAATTATTTGCTGACGTTGTACAGGAAATTGCTAGGTTAAGCTTTCACATTGATATACATTTCAGTTGGGTTTGAGAGCTAACAGTGTACATTTTAATTCAGAGTAGTCAATATAATAAAGGGAATCGTTAAGCTTGTCAAGGAGCCTTGAGACTTGTTCATTCTTGCCTAATACCATTTTGTGCTGTGGGGTGGGCTAATTGAAGTACAAATTAGTGCCGTGCTCTTAACTAAACCTCAACTGTGGCGGGTGAAGATGGAGTACCAGCTTTCTCATCTGTAAGTCATTTAAAGCGGTCTATGGGAGCCTATACGGGACGCCTAAACAAAGGACGTGAGGAGTGCCGTATTGCCAGGCAGGATCAGGATGTAGACTGTGAGTTTACCTGGAGTTTACCTGGAGAGAGTTTCGGGGGTCAACGCCCCCGCGGCCCGGTCTGTGACCAGGCCTCCTGGTGGATCAGCGCCTGATCAACCAGGCTGTTGCTGCTGGCTGCACGCAAACCAACGTACGAGCCACAGCCCGGCTGATCAGGAACTGACTTTAGGTGCTTGTCCAGTGCCAGCTTGAAGACTGCCAGGGGTCTGTTGGTAATCCCCCTTATGTGTGCTGGGAGGCAGTTGAACAGTCTCGGGCCCCTGACACTTATTGTATGGTCTCTTAACGTGCTAGTGACACCCCTGCTTTTCATTGGGGGGATGGTGCATCGTCTGCCAAGTCTTTTGCTTTCGTAGTGAGTGATTTTCGTGTGCAAGTTCGGTACTAGTCCCTCTAGGATTTTCCAGGTGTATATAATCATGTATCTCTCCCTCCTGCGTTCCAGGGAATACAGGTTTAGAAACCTCAAGCGCTCCAGTAATTGAGGTGTTTTATCTCCGTTATGCGCGCCGTGAAAGTTCTCTGTACATTTTCTAGGTCGGCAATTTCACCTGCCTTGAAAGGTGCTGTTAGAGTGCAGCAATATTCCAGCCTAGATAGAACAAGTGACCTGAAGAGTGTCATCATGGGCTTGGCCTCCCTAGTTTTGAAGGTTCTCATTATCCATCCTGTCATTTTTCTAGCAGATGCGATTGATACAATGTTATGGTCCTTGAAGGTGAGATCCTCTGACATAATCACTCCCAGGTCTTTGACGTTGGTGTTTCGCTCTATTTTGTGGCCAGAATTTGTTTTGTACTCTGATGAAGATTTAATTTCCTCGTGTTTACCATATCTGAGTAATTGAAATTTCTCATCATTGAACTTCATATTGTTTTCTGCAGCCCACTGAAAGATTTGGTTGATGTCCGCCTGGAGCCTTGCAGTGTCTGCAATGGAAGACACTGTCATGCAGATTCGGGTGTCATCTGCAAAGGAACTAGAGAGTTGCCTGAAACCTTTGGAGGAAAGGCTGGAGGCCTTTGAGAAATCATTTATCCTTTATGAGACAGAGGCTTATGTTGCAGGTGAGTCTGATGATACTGTCGATGTAGCTCGGAAGGAATATGACGAATGAAGGGGAGAGTGTAAAGCAGAGATGAAACTCTGCAAGCAGTTAATAAAGACTTTGAAGGCCAGTATGGCAGGGGCAGCAAATATTTCAGGGAGCACGAACAGCTGCACGTCTGTTAATGTGTTGCCCAGATTGCCCCAATTGAATTAATCAACGTTTGATGGAACCTTAACAGAGTACATTGCTTTCTGGGATCAGTTTAAAGCCCAGATAGATGACAGAGATGATTTGTCAGATGCCATCAAATTACAGTATTTATGATCACAGCTCAAGGGTAAAGCCTTAGACTTGGTCCGGCATTACCAAACCACTGACACTAATTACCAACATGCCAAGAACCAATTAAAGGACATGTTTGGCAACACTGAGGAGATAAAGGTAGCTATGCTTTATCACTTGTGGACCTGGAGGCTTGTCACCATGACCGTCAGAGCCTAGAGAAGTTCTGAATCAAAGTTATGAGTTTGACAAATAGTCTTAAAGATTTACATGATTGAGGTAAGTCAGAATGGTTCATCAGTAAGGTGATTCAGAGGAAACTGGCTGGCACTACAGTGCATGAGTTACACTTAAAATATCGGACAAACCGGTTCACGATACAACAAATTGTTGAGGGGTTCGGAGATCTTGTTTCTCATTTGAGTATAGGTGAGAGAGAAGAGTCACCACCATCACCACATAAAAACACAGATAGTTACTCAAAGGTCTCGAGAGATCAGTCTAAAGCTCATACTACTAATGTTGGAGTGTACTATGGCAAAGAAGTGTCTAAGGCAAGAACCTCTAAGCAGAACCTCAGAGGCACTCGTGCTAGAATATGCGTGTTCTGCGAAAGCGAACACACTAGCATGAGTTGCTCTGAGTATACACCACTGAGCAGTAGGCAATGGAGACTAAAGGAGTTGAGACTCTGCTTCTAGTGTTGTGGGGAACACTTTGCCAGAGACTGTAATGCCCAGCTCAGTGAATGTTGAGGCTGTGGGAGAGGTAGGCACCACACTGCACTATGTCCCAATAATTTAAGGGAACCTCAGGCTATTAGGGATATCCCTCAGGTAGAGATAGAAAGTGAGCCTGAGTCTGAAGTGGTAGCTAACGTGATTAGTGGGAGTGAAATCTCTAATCCGAGTGAGAATTACAGAGGTGCTGCCCTACCTACAGTCATAGCAGAGGTTGTGAATGGGCACATGTCTGAAACAACCCGATTATTCTTTGACTCGGGAGCACAAGTATCCTTGATAACAAAGAAGTTGGTGGCTAAATTAAAGTTGAAGACCACCAGAAACGTTAGTATGATGTTGGGAGGAGCTATAAGTCAGGTCCCATCCAAATCTTAGGATTGTTGTGGATGTCACAGCTAAATTAGTTGGACATCGCAGAGACATTACAGCCTTGGTGGTAGAGACGTTACCCACGGCACTTACAGCAAGAGGTCTTGCTGCAGCAGCCAAGCGATTGAAAGACCTTGGCATGAATCTGGCAGACCAGGGAATTACCACTGACACAGTCAGAAATGTGTGGGTATCCTGGTGGGAGCCAACCAGATAGATGACTTCCTGTCTACATGACGGACTTGCGGGAAGGAATTGGATTATACAGATCCCCAGTAGGATACATCATAGGTGGCAGGATTCCACCTGAATTCCCTGCCACACCAGAGAGGGAAGAAGCTGTCTCCATGATAGCTGGGGGAGTAGTGATAATGAGTATCAGTATACACGATGAACCGCCAGGTAAGCTGAACCAGGTAGGGAGTGGCACACTCAGCCACCTTGGGAAAACACTTTTATGGGGCATGTAAAGAGGGAGATAAATTGCCATTAAATCCAGGGAACCTCGTATCAGTGGGAAGAAAGGCTACCGGGGCATGTGGGCCACTGGGTGGGAAAGTACGGAGCTGCTCAGTCAAGGCTAGACATATGAAAGATGTTAAAGTTAAAGGGAAGGGTGTTAAGATCACCGGAACCAACAAGTTTACACTCCCAGAGGTCCACGCGGCGGAAACTGGACGGTTGAAGTTAGACCAGAGTCTGCTCGACAAGAGTGGCCGGATGGCACTCGTGTCCAGGGTCCGCTGTGGGGGCTTGCAGAAGGTGAACTTTATGTAGACTTATCGCCCACCTTCGCCGGCGGGAGGATGTGGAAACTTATTCGGTTCTAAAGTTCCACAAGGCAAATACGTTGTATGAAGGCCTTAATATTTCCCCGGACGGACTGTCTGAGTTTTGCGGACCCTCACATCTACCCAAACACATACATACACCCAGGTTGGCGAGGGTGGTTGGAAGGTACATTTTAATTGATAGATTTACCCTTTAAGGAAGAGGTAGGTAGTTTATACTGTTAGTAAACTAATATTAGGATTATTGAGGCAACTGTAGATAATAATAATGTAGATATAATAATGTAGATATGAATAGTCTGTTAATATAGTACAAATTCCATAGATTTTGAAAAATAAATGGAAAATATGCCCACTCACTCAGCACCTGGACCAGATTCATGGAATGCTCTATTTATAAAGAAGTGCAAAGTACCACTAGCACGAGCCCTCAGTATTCTTTGGAGAAAGAGTTTAGATCTAGGTGAAATACCGGAGGCCTTAAAGAGTGCAGACATAGCTCCTTTGCACAAGGGAGGTAGTAGAGCACTAGCTAAAAATTACAGACCAGTAGCCCTAACCTCTCGCATCATAAAAATCTTCGAAAGAGTGATGAGACAGCAGATTACAAATTTCATGGACCAGTACAACCAACATAACCCGAACCAGCATGCTTTTAGAGCAGGACGATCGTGTCTGTCACAGCTGCTGAACCATTATGACAGAATTACGGAGGCACTGGAAGACGACCAAAATGCAGATGTGATTTACACAAATTTTGCAAAGGTGTTTGACAAATGCGATCATGGAGTGATAGCGCACAAAATGAAGGCCATGGGCATTACGGGGAAGGTAGGCAGATGGATTTTCGGTTTCCTAACACACAGAACACAAAAAGTAGTAGTGAACAGGGCAAGATCCAGCATCAGCGAGGTCAAAAGCTCAGTGCCCCAAGGCACTGTCCTGGCACCTCTGCTGTTCCTCATCCTCATAGCAGACATAGACAAAAACACCCGGCACACTTTTGTATCATCATTTGCAGATGACACTAAAATAAGCATGAAAGTCAGTACGGTAGAGGACACTGAAAAAGTACTGGAAGACATAAAGAGGGTTTTCCAGTGGGCAGTGGAAAACAACATGACATTCAATGGTGATAAGTTCCAGCTGCTTAGGTATGGAAAGAATGAAGAACTCAAAAGGAGCACTGTACAGTGGACCCCCGGTTAACGATATTTTTTCATTCCAGAAGTATGTTCAGGTGCCAGTACTGACCGAATTTGTTCCCATAAGGAATATTGTGAAGTAGATTAGTCCATTTCAGACCCCCAAACATACACGTACAAACGCACTTACATAAATACACTTACATAATTGGTCGCATTGGGATGTGATCGTTAAGCGGGGGTCCACTGTATACAAAACTCAAGAGGGTCACCAAATAGAGCGTAAGGAACACGTAAAAGACCTAGGAGTAATTATGTCAGCGGACCTTTCTTTTAAAGACCATAACAAGAGAAAGATCACGACAGCCAGGAAGATGACTGGGTGGGTATTGAGAACTTTCAAAACAAGGGAAACAATGCCAATGGTGACACTCTTCAAATCGTTAGTGCTCCCTCACTTAGACTATTGCTCAGTGCTGATGGCCCTGTTCAGGGCAGGAGAAATATCGGGGCTGGAACAAATACAGAGATCGTTTACGGCTCACATTGAGCCAGTAAAGCACCTAAACTACTGGGAATGCCTGCAAGTCTTGAACATGCACTCATTGGAGTGGAGGAGAGAGAGGTACATGATAATATATACCTGGAAGGTACTCGAGGGCTTGGTCCCAAATCTGCACACTGCCATAACAACATACTGGAGTGAGAGATATGGAAGGAAGTGTAAAATAAGCCCAATGAGGAGCAGGGGTGCGGAGGGGACAATAAGGGAACACTGTATCAACATCCGGGGTCCCAGACTTTTCAACATCTTACCAGAAGATATCAGAAACACTGCTGGAACAAGTGTTGAAGCCTTCAAGAGGAAACTAGACAAGTATCTTCACCAGGTGCCAGATCAACCAGGTTGTGATGGATATGTGGGGCAGCGGGCCTCCAGCAGCAACAGCCTGGTTGACCAGGCGAGCACCAGACGAGCTTGGCCCATAGCCGGGCTCAGACAGTAGATATACTCTCGAAATTCTTCAAAGGTATAAGGTATAGGAAAACACTAGGTTATGTTAGCTAGGGAGAATTGGCAGCCCAAGCTTGAACGACGAGGCACGGGTCGAAAAGACGCCAGAACTTCCTTCTACAATGAGACGGCAAGCTTGGCACACCGCCATGAACAGCAGGGCAGTGCCCCCACGTGTCTTCACATACTAGACCCTAGGGAAATCTGGTGGAGGCACCTCGAAGTACTGTAGATGCCCTCCTCCATCAGGCCCATACAGTAAGACAAGACCTCCCTTTCTTTCTCAGTATTCTGGCCAGTTTCTGGGGGGAAATTGCGAGTGAGTTGAACTGCGGGTTTTTGTGCAGTTGGACGCCCGGAGACCAGTACCTACCGGCGTCCCCTCTTGTTGCGCTTAGAAGCTAGTGTCACTTTCTTCATAGTTAGACTAGGGGATACACACCCCCTTGGAATCAGGAATTTCTGAGGTGCAGGCAGGTCACTAATACTGACTGAATATTGCAGGAATTAAGGTTCCCGGCTGCTCGTGGTCTTGAAGGGGAAGTCCAGAAGGGCTAAAGCTTAGGGAGGTTGAAGACCAGGATATATTCTCCAACACCAAGTAAGTTAGTCCTTTATTCGTGTATGCAGGCGAGATTCCTTGGAACATCAGTTATTTATGGAAATGTGTCATATAAGCCACTTGTGAGGCTGAGGTACCAGCCTCAGGGCTCGGTGTCAACAGAGCTTGCTAGGGCAGACAACTCACACGGAGGCAGTCCAGACAAATTTCCACAACAGACATTACTGAACAGAGGTGAGACCTTACATATACATACACATTGTGTGTGTATATGTATATATATACAGTGGACCCCCGGTTAATGATATTTTTTCACTCCAGAAGTATGTTCAGGTGCCAGTACTGACCGAATTTGTTCCCATAAGGAATATTGTGAAGTAGATTAGTCCATTTCAGACCCCCAAACATACACGAACAAACGCACTTACATAAATACACTTACATAATTGGTCGCATTCGGAGGTGATCGTTATGTGGGGGTCCACTGTATATATATTATATATATATATATATATATATATATATATATATATATATATATATATATATATATATATATATAAATAATTAGAGGTAAGACAGAATGTAGGATGGCGGATGAGCAAGGAGGTTTCAGAGTGGGTAGGGGATGTGTAGATCACGTGTTTACATTGAAGCATATATGTGAACAGTATTTAGATAAAGGTAGGGAAGTTTTTATTGCATTTATGGATTTAGAAAAGGCATATGATCGAGTGGATAGGGGAGCAATGTGGCAGATGTTGCAAGTATATGGAATAGGTGGTAAGTTACTAAATGCTGTAAAGAGTTATTATGAGGATAGTGAGGCTCAGGTTAGGGTGTGTAGAAGAGAGGGAGACTACTTCCCGGTAAAAGTAGGTCTTAGACAGGGATGTGTAATGTCACCATGGTTGATGAATATATTTATAGATGGGGTTGTAAAAGAAGTAAATGCTAGGGTGTTCGGGAGAGGGGTGGGATTAAATTATGGAGAATCAAATTCAAAATGGGAATTGACACAGTTACTTTTTGCTGATGATACTGTGCTTATGGGAGATTCTAAAGAAAAATTTCAAAGGTTAGTGGATGAGTTTGGGAATGTGTGTAAAGGTAGAAAGTTGAAAGTGAACATAGAAAAGAGTAAGGTGATGAGGGTATCAAATGATTTAGATAAAGAAAAATTGGATATCAAATTGGGGAGGAGGAATATGGAAGAAGTGAATGTTTTCAGATACTTGTGAGTTGACGTGTCGGCAGATGGATTTATGAAGGATGAGGTTAATCATAGAATTGATGAAGGAAAAAAGGTGAGTGGTGCGTTGAGATATATGTGGAGTCAAAAAACGTTATCTATGGAGGCAAAGAAGGGAATGTATGAAAGTATAGTAGTACCAACACTCTTATATAGATGTGAAGCTTGGGTGGTAAATGCAGCAGCGAGGAGACAGTTGGAGGCAGTGGAGATGTCCTGTTTAAGGGCAATGTGTGGTGTAAATATTACGCAGAAAATTCGGAGTGTGGAAATTAGGAAAAGGTGTGGAGTTAATAAAAGTATTAGTCAGAGGGCAGAAGAGGGGTTGTTGAGGTGGTTTGGTCATTTAGAGAGAATGGATCAAAGTAGAATGACATGGAAAGCATATAAATCTATAGGGGAAAGAAGGCGGGGTAGGGGTCGTCCTTGAATAGGTTGGAGAGAGGGGGTAAAGGAGGTTTTGTGGGCGAGGGGCTTGGACTTCCAGCAAGCGTGCGTGAGCGTGTTAGATAGGAGTGAATGGAGACGAATGGTACTTGGGACCTGACTATCTGTTGGAGTGTGAGCAGCGTAATATTTAGTGAAGGGAAGAGGGTAAGGTACCTAGGGATTGGCAGAGAGCATGCATAGTTCCTTTGTATAAAGGCAAAGGGGATAAAAGAGAGTGCAAAAATTATAGGGGGATAAGTCTGTTGAGTGTACCTGGTAAAGTGTATGGTAGAGTTATAATTGAAAGAATTAAGAGTAAGACGGAGAATAGGATAGCAGATGAACAAGGAGGCTTTAGGAAAGGTAGGGGGTGTGTGGACCAGGTGTTTACAGTGAAACATATAAGTGAACAGTATTTAGATAAGGCTAAAGAGGTCTTTGTGGCATTTATGGATTTGGAAAAGGCATATGACAGGGTGGATAGGGGGGCAATGTGGCAGATGTTGCAAGTGTATGGTGTAGGAGGTAGGTTACTGAAAGCAGTGAAGAGTTTTTACGAGGATAGTGAGGCTCAAGTTAGAGTATGTAGGAAAGAAGGAAATTTTTTCCCAGTAAAGGTAGGCCTTAGACAAGGATGTGTGATGTCACCGTGGTTGTTTAATATATTTATAGATGGGGTTGTAAGAGAAGTAAATGCGAGGGTCTTGGCAAGAGGCGTGGAGTTAAAAGACAAAGAATCACACACAAAGTGGGAGTTGTCACAGCTGCTCTTTGCTGATGACACTGTGCTCTTGGGAGATTCTGAAGAGAAGTTGCAGAGATTGGTGGATGAATTTGGTAGGGTGTGCAAAAGAAGAAAATTAAAGGTGAATACAGGAAAGAGTAAGGTTATGAGGATAACAAAAAGATTAGGTGATGAAAGATTGAATATCAGATTGGAGGGAGAGAGTATGGAGGAGGTGAATGTATTCAGATATTTGGGAGTGGACGTGTCAGCGGATGGGTCTATGAAAGATGAGGTGAATCATAGAATTGATGAGGGAAAAAGAGTGAGTGGTGCACTTAGAGTCTGTGGAGACAAAGAACTTTGTCCTTGGAGGCAAAGAGGGGAATGTATGAGAGTATAGTTTTACCAACGCTCTTATATGGGTGTGAAGCGTGGGTGATGAATGTTGCAGCGAGGAGAAGGCTGGAGGCAGTGGAGATGTCATGTCTGAGGGCAATGTGTGGTGTGAATATAATGCAGAGAATTCGTAGTTTGGAAGTTAGGAGGAGGTGCGGGATTACCAAAACTGTTGTCCAGAGGGCTGAGGAAGGGTTGTTGAGGTGGTTCGGACATGTAGAGAGAATGGAGCGAAACAGAATGACTTCAAGAGTGTATCAGTCTGTAGTGGAAGGAAGGCGGGGTAGGGGTCGGCCTAGGAAGGGTTGGAGGGAGGGGGTAAAGGAGGTTTTGTGTGCGAGGGGCTTGGACTTCCAGCAGGCATGCGTGAGCGTGTTTGATAGGAGTGAATGGAGACAAATGGTTTTTAATACTTGACGTGCTGTTGGAGTGTGAGCAAAGTAACATTTATGAAGGGATTCAGGGAAACCGGCAGGCCGGACTTGAGTCCTGGAGATGGGAAGTACAGTGCCTGCACTCTGAACGAGGGGTGTTAATGTTGCAGTTTAAAAACTGTAGTGTAAAGCACCCTTCTGGCAAGACAGTGATGGAGTGAATGATGGTGAAAGTTTTTCTTTTTCGGGCCACCCTGCCTTGGTGGGAATCGGCCGGTGTGATAATAAAAAAAAATAATATATATATATATATATATATATATATATATATATATATTATATATATATATATATATATATATATATATATATATATATTATATAATATATATATATTATATATTATTATATATATATATATATATATTATATATATATATATATATATATATATATATATATATATATATATATATTATATATATATATATATATAATATAATATTATATATATTGATGAAAGACATTGACACACACGATGCCTTCTACCTACTCACCAGGTGCCTGTCAATCCCAAAACTTACCTATTTTCTGAGATGCTCCCCAGCCTTCAGCAGTCCAAAACTCAAGGAATATGACTCTCTCTTGAAGGCCATGCTAGAGAGTGTATTGAATCTTTTCCTTGACGATGGACAGTGGTTGCAAGCCTCACTTCCGGTCAGGCTTCCAGGGCTAGGAGTACGCAGATCCTCCCAGATTGCTCTACCAGCTTTCCTATCCTCTTCCATAGCATCAAACGAGTTGATAAGACAAATTCTTCCTGACACCCTCAGTGACTCAGCAGGAATAGAAGACCCTAGCTATGCCAGTGCCATCACCGAATGGGAGACTCTTGCTGCTCCAGCACCAAACCCTAGTACAGCACTGGCTCACAAAGTCAAGCTGGAATGGCCCGATTGCTGAAAAGGTGCTTGCCAACATGCTCAGGGCTGCAACATCAGATAGGGAGATTGCCCGTCTCCAGGCTGTGAGTGCACCTCACTCTGGGGACTTCCTCCAAACAGTTCCCATATCTGCAATGGGAACGCGACTCGACCCTAAGACCCTCCGTATTGCAGTGGCTCTGTGCCTTGCTGCCCCAGTTCACACAGAATATATGTGTATTTGCGGCGAAGTACAAGCAGACCAATATGGTCTACATGGTCTTAACTGTTCCAAAACCAAGGGCTGGCATGCATGACACAATGAGGTCAACGACATCATTAAGAGAACCCTTGCTACAGCTGGATGCCCTGCCGAGAGGGAGCCCCGATCACTAGCAGCCAACAATACCCACAACCCAGCAAACCGTCCCGACGGGATCACCATCTATCCTTGGAAGAATGGCAAGCTCTTAGCATGGGACTATACCTGTGTGTCCACACTGGCTGACACCTATATCCATCACAGTGTGGGGCGACAGGGAAGAGCTGCTGACCACAGGGAGGAGTACAAGATCAGCAAGTACAGGGACATTAGCCAACAGTATCAATTTGTCACAGTGGGATCAGAGACCTTGGGATCATGGGGAAAAAATGGCACACGTTTCCTTAAAGAATTGGGTTCCAGACTCATCGACACCACCAGGGACACAAGGGCAGCCACTTTCATGTTCCAGCTCCTCAGCGTCGCCATCCAGAGGGGAAATGCTTGCTGCATACTTGGCTCGCGTCCAGCCTCGGAGGAGCTGGAGGAAATTCATGATCTTTGATACATTGTGCCATTGTATTCATGTTTGTTTTTTTCTGTAAATGTATTTTGTTTATTAATAAATGTTCACATAGAATATAAAATATATAGGGGTGGTAGGAGAAGAAAATAT